TCCGAACTCATCAGGATTGATGTTGGATCCGAGGTTAGCTAGCGCGTCTGCCTCAGTGTTCAAGTTCCTGGGTACTTGTGCGATTTTGAATTCTTCGAATTCCTTTGTGAGGTTCCTTACTACCTCCAGATATGCAACCATCTTGGCATCTTTTGCTGCATATTCACCGTTAATTTGGTTTAAAATAAGTAAAGTATCAGAGATTACCTCTAGGTGCTTTATTTTCATGTCCTTGGCAATGGTTAACCCTGTGATTAATGCCTCGTACTCTGCCTCATTATTGGTAGCTTTGAAATTGCACCTTACAGCTTGGGCAATCTTGTCTCCTTGGGGGGATGTTATCACTATTCCCAAGCCTACACCTCATATGTTTGTTGCACCATCTGTATGGAGCTTCCATTTTTGTGCACCTTTGGGCTCTTGGAGGGACAATACTTCTTTCTGTGCTTCTTGTTCAAGAGTTGGACTGAAATCTACCACGAAGTCTACCAAGGCTTGTGACTTAATTGTAGTTCTAGGTTTGTATTGAATATCATACTTATTGAGATGGATCATCCACTTTTCTATCCTTCCTGACATTTCTGGTTTTCTCATGATAGCCTTAATAGGGTAATTAGTACGCACACATATAACACGACTTTCAAAGTAAGGGCGTAACTTAGTTGAAGCAGTGACTAAGGCTAAAATGATCTTTTCTAAGGAAGTGTACCTGGTTTCCGCACTGAGTAAGGTTTTACTTACATAATAGATTGGAAACTGCTCCTTGTCTTCTTCTCTGGTGAGGACTACACTGATTGTCCCTTCTAATACTACTAGGTACAGCTGGAGTGGCTCTCCTTCCTTTGGCTTGGAAAGTATCAAAGGATTTGCTAAGTACTCCTTTAGCTTTTGGAATGCTTCCTCGTGTTCTTGCTCCCATTTGAATTCTTTGTTCTTCTTCAGTACGTTGTAGAAGACTTTGTTCTTGTCTGATGACTTAGAGATGAACCTGTTTAGTGCTGCTATTCTTCTAGTAAGGCTTTGTATGTCCTTGGATTTTGGTCGTTCTTGGTCAAGTATGGCCTTGACTTGCTCTGGGTTGGCTTCTATTCCTCGCTGTGTCACCATGTAGCCTAAGAATTCGCCTAACTGGACTCCGAATGAACACTTGGTGGGATTCAACTTCATGTCGTAGTGCTTCAAGGTGGAGAAGGCTTCTTTGAGATCTCTTACGTGATATGTTGCTTTCTTGGACTTCACCACCATGTCATCTATGTATACCTCTATTGTGTTTCCAATTTGCTTTTCAAACATCTTGTTGACTAGTCTTTGGTATGTTGCTCCAACATTCTTCAGCCCGAAAGACATTACCTTGTAGCAATATATTCCCTAGCTAGTTATGAATGCTGTCTTTTCCTGGTCATCTTTGTGCATGAGAATCTGGTTATATCCACTGTATGCATCCATGAAGGAGAGTAATTCGTTCCCTGCTGTTGTATCTACCATGGCGTCGATGTGAGGGAGTGGGAACGGATCCTTTGGGCAGGCCTTATTGATTTCTGTGAAGTCAATACATATTTTCCACGTCCCATTTTTCTTTCCAGTTGGCTAGCCAGTCTGGGTACTTAACCTCGTTGATCTTTCCAGTTTTGAGCAAATTCTAAACTTCTTCATTAATTAATTTGTTCCTTTCTGGTGCAAACTTTCTTCTTTTTTGTTTTACTGGCATGTGATTTAGGTCTACGTTCAGCTTGTGTGTAATTACATCTGGAGGGATTCTCTTCATGTTTTCGTGCGTCCATGTGAATGCATCTTTCTCCGCTTCCAAGAATTCTAGGACTTGCTTGTTGAGATCTTTGTTCAACTCTGCTCCTTGATAAATTGCTATTTGTTATGATTTTAGGGTGTTTTTGAACCTAGTTTACTTGATAAAATTTGTGTTTTGGTTCACTTTTACTCTATTATTATGCAATTTTTGTGTATCCTATGCTTCACGGGTTGTTGGTGTTTTTGTTGAGATTCTAGGTTCAAAAACGACCAAATGGGGCCCATGGATACAAAGCCGAAGTTAGAAGCAAGAAGATGGTTGAAAGAAGCCAAGGAAAGGAGCAATATAGAAGAAAAGATGGAAAAAAGGGCTTAGAAGATCCTGCACGGCCGTGCCAGACCCTGCACGTCCGTGCAGGAGTGCTCCAGAAACTTAGAACATTCTGCCAAGGCCTGCACGGACGTGCCAAATTAAGCACGTCCGTGCAGATGTAGCTGCACGTCCGTGCCAATATATGCACGTCCGTGCGGAGCTGCTCGATTCTTAGCAGTACGTTCTGCCTCAATTCTGACCCCTCTGCACGTCCGTGCAAAATCTGGCACGACCGTGCTTATCCTTGCACGTCCGTGCGGACCTGCAGTCAAGCCCGATTCTTGTTTTCTCCGTCCTTTTTATTTGGGGGTCTTATAAATACCCCCTTTGGAGCTCATTTGTACACTATGCAGTTTTTTTTAGAGCTTTCCTCTTAGTTTGTAATCTTAGAACATTAAATTCTCAAATCATTAGTTAGTTCTCAATTATTAGCTTGGAAACATTCAAATTCAATCATTGTAGAAGACAAAATCCACCATTGTTGCTCACTTTGAAGCTTCATAGTAACCATTTCTTACTCATATTTTCTACTTCTTTTTACTTTGTTGTTGATTACTTGCTTAATTCTTGCATGCTTAGATTGTTAATTAGCTTAATACTTAGTTTGAACTTGTTCATGAATTGCTTGAAACCTCTAATTGCTTTAACCTCCATGGATTGTGAGTAGTCTAAATTCTAGGATTTGGGTAAAACCCTCAATGTAGTCACTAATTACTTGTTGCATGTGCTAATTTGGTTGTTGTGGGATGTTAATTAGTTGAGCTTAAGTGGTTTAATTGCTTAGTTCTTGTATATGGCCATTGCTAGAACTATTTATCCAAGCTTTCTCAACGAAGGATCGAGAGATGAACTTGAGTTAGCTCCCTTATGCTTGATTGACCCGAAATGCCATGAGAATAGGGATTACCGGTCAAGGGAATGTTTATGTCATCGTGATTATGCTTTAACTATTGTTTTATGCTATGTAACCACGAGAGTAGGTTTTATTCATGATTCAAGTAATCCCTCTAGCTTGAGAGAGTAGTTGGGTGCTTTAGATGACTTCCCCTAATTTATCCCATTAATTTACCTTGATTGTTGCATGCTAATTGTGATTTGTGATGAAATTGAGTGGTATAACCCAAGCCTTAGATTCCTCTTAATATTGTTAATCTCCTCTTAGCTTTAGTTGAATTGAATTAGAAGAAGTTACTCAAAACCAACCCAATTTAGAATTCATTTAGCTTATTGAAACGGTAGTACTCGGTGGTTGATTCAACGCCTCTCTTGGGTTCGACCCTTTCTTACCTTTACTATTGTTAGTGAGACCAAGATAGGAGTTATTATCTTTGGTAGGCTCGAAGACGGCCTATCAAATTTTGGCACCGTTGCCGGGGAGGCAAAGTCACATTGAATGTATTATTGTTGAATGAGACTAGATGTGTGTATATGTATAGTAGTTTTCTTACCTTAATTTTTGTTTATGTGTGTTTAACTTATGATAGTCATTGCTAACGTTTTTCTTAGCTTTGTTTGACTTTGCATGACACGAAAGAGTAAGCAATCACCGCTTATTCCCGTTGATCCAGAGCTAAATAGGACTTTGAGAAACGTGAGGAGACTCTTGCAAGGCACACCCGAGTTTTCCATTGTATATTCGGATTCTGATCCGGAAGAGGTTTTTAGAGCTAACGAAGAAGATAACATGAGAGAGAATCCTCCTCAACCATTTTTAAGAGACTATGACCACCCCAACGCATTCCAACTTCGAAGTGGCATACGTCTTCCCACCACAAATGCAAACAACTTTGAGCTTTCACCACAACTCATCCGTATGATTCAAAGCGATCAATTCGGAGGTAGTCCTCATGAGTGTCCTTTTGCTCATTTGGACAACTTTCTTGAGTTGTGTACGACCATCAAGAAAAACAACATTTCGGAAGAGTTCATCCGTGATAAAGCAAAGCATTGGTTGAGAACGGTTGAAGAGGGATCATTGAGTACTTGGGACGAAGTCACTAGAGCCTTTCTTGGAAAGTATTGTCCTCCGGAAAAGACCGCCGAATTAAGAAGAAAGATCACCAATTTCAATCAAGACATTGATGAAACATTGAGTGAAGCTTGGGAGCGTTTCAAGGATTACACAAGGAAATGCCCCCACCATGGTTTTACATCATGGATCATTGTACAAAGCTTCTATGACGGTCTTACTCCTATTTCAAGGGCCAACCTTGATTCCGGGGCCGGTGGTAGCCTCAAAAAGCTATCGGTGGATGATGCATATAAGATGATTGAAGAAGTGGCCAAGCATTATGCATATGGAGGTGATCGAAGGCAACCTCAAACAAAGAAGGGCGGAATTCATGATCTTAGTGCAATAGATCTTATTGCATCAAAGTTCGATATGCTAGCTCACAAGCTAGATCAAGCCACCCTCACACCCTCAAGCTCTTCCTCACAAGTCATGTCTTGTGAGACTTGTGGAGGAAATGATCACTTGTCCTCTTATTGCAACTCAACGAATCAAGAGCAAGCGGCGGCAATTGGGCAAAGGAATGAACAATACTCCCAATCCCACAATCAAAGTTGGAAGCCCCAACAAAACACGGGATGGAAGCAATACAACCAAGGCCCCCCACAAAATAACTACAACCAAAATCAAACCCAACCTCAAAACCACTACAACCAACCTCATTCTCAAAACCAACAAGCTCCATACCGCCATCCTAACCAAAGGGATCAAAACCACCAAAGATCACAATATAACCAACCCGCTCCTCCTCCTCCACCTCCTCAAAAGACTAGCCTTGAGTCCGTTCTTGAAACTTTCATGACTCAACAAATAAGGAACAATGCGGATATGAATGCAAACATCCAACAACTCTAAGCACATAATAAGATAATGGAGAGCCAATTGGCTCAAATTGCACAACAAGTTGGAAGTTCATCCTCCAATCCTAGTGGTCACTTTCCAAGCTCAACGGTAGTGAACCCAAAGGAGCAAGCTAAGGCTATCACTTTGAGATCGGGAAGGGGTTATGAGGGCCCAGTTATGAGTGAAGAGGATCCACAAAAGAGAGATGAGGGAGTTGTGGTGAGAAGTGAGGATGATTTTGAAAATGAAGTAGTTGAAGTTGAGAGAAAAAAGAAAAAGAGTGATGAGGAAGCCACAAAGAAAGACGAGGGAGATGAAGAAAGAATAGAAAAGCCCCCTATGAGAATACATAAGCCCCCCATTCCGTTTCCTCAAAGAATTGTAGAGAAGAAGTTGAATGAGAAGTTTTCAAAATTTCTTGAAGTCATGAGAGGACTTCAAGTGAACATCCCCTTTCTTCATGCTATGTCACAAATGCCTACCTATGCAAAATTTTTGAAGGATCTTCTATCCAACAAGAGTAGGCTTGAAGAGAGTGCAACCATCTCCCTTCCTAAGGAGGTGAGTGCAATCATTCAAAACAAGCTTCCCTAAAAGCTTGGTGACCCCGGTAGCTATGCAATACCGGTGAAGATTGTAGATTTGGAAGCTATGGATGCTTTATGTGATCTTGGGGCAAGTGTGAGCTTGATGCCCTATTCTATTGCAAAGAGCTTGAAAGTTGGAGACTTGAAACCAACAAGAATGTCCTTACAACTAGCCGACCGCACGGTTAGGCTACCTTTGGGGATTCTCGAAGATGTGGCGGTTCAAGTTGGAAGAGTATTTGTGCCATGTGATTTTTTAGTAATGGAGATGGAATAAGATTCAAGAGTACCCCTCATTTTGGGGAGACCATTTTTGAACACGGCGGGAGTGGTGATTGATATGAAAGAAGGAAGATTGACTTTGAATGTGGGAGATGAGAAAATTTCATTTTCATTCTCACAAACTTTGAAAAAGCCATTGATTGATGAAGTTCATAGAATTGACACATTGGAGAGGGACTTAGAAGAGTTCCGAGAAAGATTGTATGAAAGAGATCCTTTACAAGCTACCCTAACGGGAAGCTTAGTTGAGGAGGGTGAAGAAGCAAAGGGGTATGATCTCTTACTCAACCAAACTTTGGTCCACGATGTGATGAAATTTGAAGTGCTTAACGTGGAGGCAAAAGAGGAGAGGACTACGCCTCCTCCTAAGGTTGAACTTAAACCCCTTCCCCCTCTACTTAAATATGCTTTTCTTGATGATAGTGAGAGTTATCCCGTTATTGTCAATGTTAAGCTCGATGACACCTCTCTTGAGAAACTCCTAGTTGTTTTAAGGGAGTATAGAGATGTCATTGGGTACAAAATTGATGACATTAAGGGGATAAGTCCCACCATATGCATGCATAAAATTCTACTTGATGATGATCATGCTTCCTCGATTGAGCACCAAAGAAGGCTCAATCCCAATATGAAGGAAGTGGTGAAAAAAGAAGTTTTAAAACTTCTTGAGGCGGGCATAATCTACCCTATCTCCGATAGTAAGTGGGTTAGCCCAGTTCAAGTTGTGCCTAAAAAGGGAGGCATGACCATCATCAAAAATGATAAGGGTGAGACCATTTCCACGAGGTCGGTCACCGGGTGGAGGATGTGCATTGATTATCGAAAATTGAATAAATCCACCCGGAAAGACCACTTCCCACTCCCCTTCATTGATCAAATATTGGAAAGACTAGCATCACATAGTCATTATTGCTTCTTGGATGGATACTCGGGATTCTTTCAAATCCCAATCCAACCCGAGGACCAAGAAAAGACTACATTCACATGTCCTTTTGGCACCTTTGCATATCGAAGAATGCCATTTGGACTTTGTAATGCACCTTCCACATTTCAAAGGTGTATGATGTCTATTTTTTCCGACATGCTTGAATCATCAATTGAGGTATTCATGGATGACTTTTCTATTTTTAGTTCATCTTTTGACACTTGTCTTTCAAATTTGATTAAAGTGTTAAAAAGATGTCAAGAGGTGAACTTAGTTTGAATTGGGAGAAATGTCATTTCATGGTAGAGGAGGGAATTGTTCTTGGTCATGTGATTTCTAGTAGGAGCATTGAGGTAGATCGTGCCAAGATTGAAGTAATTGAGTGCCTCCCACCCCCTACAAATGTGAAGGGGATAAGGAGCTTTCTTGGACATGCGGGTTTTTACCGCCGGTTCATAAAGGATTTTTCAAAAATGGCAAAGCCGCTCACTCAATTGTTGGTAAAAGATGCCCCTTTTGTGTTTACTAATGATTGTTTGCTAGCATTTGATAGGTTGAAGGAGGCCTTGATTTCGGCTCCTATCATTCAACCCCCTAATTGGGAGCTTCCTTTCGAGCTTATGTGTGATGCTTTGGATTTTGCCGTTGGGTCCGTTCTTGGACAAAGGAAGGACAAGAAGCTCCATGCTATCTATTATACTAGCAAAACATTGGATGAGGCACAAAGGAATTACACAACCACGGAAAAGGAGTTTCTAGCCATTGTTCATGCAATTGAGAAGTTTAGGTCCTACTTGTTGGGCTCTAAGGTCATAGTCTTCACCGACCATGCGGCCTTGAAGTACCTCTTGTCCAAGAAAGAACCTAAGCCAAGATTGATACGGTGGGTCTTGCTCTTGCAAGATTATTATATTGAGATTAGAGACAAGAAGGGTGCCGAAAATGTTGTGGCCGATCATCTTTCACGGTTGCCTATCTTTGTAGGTGATCTTGATAACTTGCCAATTGATGATTCATTTCCGGATGATCGACTATTTGCTATCCTTCAAGCACCGGCACCATGGTTTGCGGACATTGCAAACTACTTGTCTTGCTCTATTCTTCCTCCCGACCTCACCTATCAACAAAAAGGGAAGTTTCTTCATGATGTTTGCCAATACTTTTGGGACGACCCCTTGCTCTTTAAAAAAGGTATTGATGGCCTTTTTAGAAGGTGTGTCCCGGATGATGAGATTGAAAGTGTTATCACAATGTGTCACTCCTCACCTTGTGGAGGACATATGAGTGCTAACAAAACTTTGGCAAAGATCTTACAATGTGGTTTCTATTGGCCTTCCATGTTCAAAGATGTGTGGGGTGTAGTGAAAGCTTGTGACCGGTGTCAAAGAACCGGCAATATTTCAAGAAGAAGTGAAATGCCATTGAACAACATTCTTGAGTTGGAGATTTTTGATGTATGGGGCATAGATTTTATGGGGCCTTTCCCAACCTCTTTTGGGAATAAATTCATTCTTGTGGCCGTCGATTACGTGTCAAGGTGGGTAGAAGCGGTTGCATCTCCTACTAATGATGCTAAGGTGGTGGTCAAACTCTTCAAGAAGGTCATTTTTCCAAGGTTCGGGGTGCCACGTGCTGTCATTAGTGATGGAGATTCGCATTTTGCAAAGCGGTCCTTCCAAGCTCTTCTTGGGAAGTACGGTGTGAGGCACAAGGTGTCATTGGCTTACCACCCTCAAACAAGTGGTCAAGCCGAGATTTCAAACCGGGAGATAAAGGTGATCTTAGAGAAGACGGTGGATAGGTCTAGAAAGGATTGTCTACGAAGCTAGATGATGCTCTATGTGCCTACCGCACCGAATTCAAGACTCCCATTGGCACCACCCCTTACAAGCTATTTACCGGTAGAACTTGAGCATCGTGCTCATTGGGCTATTAAAACGTTGAACTTTGACCTTCAAAGTGCCGGTGAAAAGAGGTTGCTTGACCTCCATGCCTTAGAAGAGCTAAGATTGGATGCATATGAGAATGCACGGATCTACAAAGAAAAGACCAAGGATAGGCATGACAAGCATATCAACAAAAGGGAGTTCAAGGAAGGTGACAAGGTCCTACTATTCAATTCCCGGTTGAAGTTGTTTCCGGGTAAGCTAAAATCAAGATGGAGTGGACCTTTTACCGTCAAGAAGGTGTTCCCATATGGTGCAATCGAAATTTCCAAAGAGAATGGTGAACCGTTCAAAGTAAATGGCCAAAGGCTAAAAGCGTACTTTGACGGTTTTGTGAATGAAGAGGCAAAAGTTGTTCACCTTGATGAGTTCGATATTCCTCACTAACATTTGATCCCGCAATGTCGTCAAGCTAGTGACGTTAAAAAAGCGCTTCCGGGAGGCAACCCGAGTTCCTCACACTCTCTCAATTATTATTTTTTCATTTGTTTTATTTTTATTATTACTAACCCTTTTTTTTATATATATATCTTTTGTAGGTATTTATTGAAAAGAGAAGTAATAATAATAATAATAATAATAATAATAATAATAATAATAATAATAATAATAATAATAAAAAAAAAAAAAGGAAAGAAGAAGAAATCGTGCACCATCAGGTATGCACGGACGTGCAGAACATCGCACGTTCGTGCAGATGAAGGCAGAACCAGACAGAAAATGGATAGCTGAAATCTGAACCTTCGCACGTCCGTGCCAAAAATCAGCACGACCGTGCCAAGTTGCACGACCGTGCCAACCTCTGCACGCCCGTGCAATCGAAGACAGAAGAGGCTCCTATTTCGCCAGAAATCTGCACGTCCGTGCCAATACCTGCACGTCCGTGCAGATTCAATTTGAACAGCAATAAGCCGATTTTTCCAAAAAAAAAAAAAAAAAAAAAAAAAAAAAAGAGTAGCATAGACCCCCACCCCACGATTCTCACTCCTCTCACACTCAAACTCTCCTTCCTCCTCCATACTCCATACTCCATACTCCATACTACTATTTCTCCATACCTTATTCTCACCCATCAAACTCCATTTTTCACTCAAATCCCTATTCTAAACTACAATTTTCACCCCTCTTTCAACATTCTTCACAAATTACGACCCCCTTTTCACCATCAAAACCCCAAAATACCAAAATTTCCTCAAACCCTAACTTTCAAAATTGATTTGGGGGTTTCTTGAATTTTGATTCTTTAAGCAAATTGGGTGAACAAGGGCTTTCAATCAACAACAAGGAGTACTAGAAAGGTTCATTTGCGGGTTCTACACCCACGACATTCTTGGTATAATCTTTCTAATCTCAAGCTCTTCCTATATAGTTTAAATGCTTGTTGGTTGATATTATGAGTAGTAATAGTTGAAATTGTTGACATTTTGTTAAGTAATTGTGAATGTTGTTAGTTTAGTCGTATAAAAGAAAAAAATTTGGGTGAATTGTGAGCATTGAAATTTTGGTTGGTGATAGGTTTGTGTGAGTATGGATGCTTTTGGTGTTGGATTGTTGAATTGTTGTTGGTAAATTGTGCGCATTGACAATTTTGGTGTTGGATTGTTTGAATTTATAAGATCATTGTTGGTTAATTTTCGGGCTTGTTCTTGTTGTGTGTTGGTTAGGTGGAAGACTTAGAGCCTTGTGTGTTTCAAATACTTATTCATTAGGTGTTGTGCTTGCTTGAAGTGGTTTAAAATTTTTTTTGATCATGTCAAGAAGAAACCAACCAAGAAACACCTCATCCGCTAGGCTTAGAAATCCTCCACCTCCATCAACCATCGAACCACCGCAAGTGGACACCTTAGGTATTGTCTTTAATAATTCGGATTTCATGGAAACTACCTAAGAATTAGTAGGAAAAGAATTCGGCCAACGAAATTTTACAACCATGAGGTAGCCGAAGCCTTAGGTGTAGAGAATGATGTTAGACAACTTTTTTTTCAAACCGGTGTCCCAAATTGGTTAGAAATGCATGCTAACACCTATAAACGGCTTACCTTAGAATTCCTCTCCTCACTATATGTCCACCGAGATAACCGCAACAACCCCCGTTACCTGACCTTCCAATTGATGAACACCCATCACAAGATGACCATAGAACAAGTAAACCAAGCATTTGGGTGGCCAACGGATGGAGATCTTTTTGGAGAAAAATCACCAGCCTATTTACTAGAGATCCTAGGACCGACAAGGCCACGACCATAGTACACCCCGCCTTTAGACTATCCCAGCGCCTAATAGCTAATACTATTTTTGCTAGGGGAGATAGTTTGGGTGTAGTTTCTAACCGTGAGTTGCTTTTTCTTTGGCACTTGAGTGAGGGTGACGAAAGGTTGAACTTAGGGGCTTGGCTTGTAGACCACCTAGATGACGTATCCTCGGGGAGTGGAATGATAACAATTGGGGGGATGATAACTATTATTGCTGCTTTTCTTGATCTTAATTTTGCAGATTTGGAGATCATTCCCGGACCAACGATGCTTGAAATCCGCTCCCTCAAGGCTATGCATTGGTTGGAGGAAGATGAAGAGGGTAAGACCTACACGTGGATGGTAAGTAGGCGCCCCTATGCAACTTTGCCAAATCCGGAAGCCACGGTTATTTACGACCCCGAGAATTGGGTCTTTGAGCCGGATTTTGAGTGGATTCCGGGTGGAGAAGATGACCAGGCCCAAGGCGGTGAGGAACAATTTCAACAACAACAACAACAACATCATCATCAACAATTTCAACAACATCAACATCATCAACAATTTCAGCAACAGCAATTTCATCAACAACACGAGTTCCAACAAAGGGACCAAGAGGGTTACCAAGATCAAGGTGTGGGTGAAAACAACCCATACCTCTCTTTTGAGTAGCAAGTAGCCAACATGAATGCGAATTTTTCCCGCATGACCACCGAATTTGAGACCTTAAGGAAATCAAACGAAGACATGAGGACTTCTTTTGACAATATGAGAACAAGTTTCGAAAGTCTCAGATCGGAGTTGGGCGATTTCTCATGTGTCATTGGTTCATGTTGTGTTTTCGTGTTTCCATGATTGAGTTGCATGTTGTTTATTCCCATTCCCTTCTTCCCTAACATCCAAATCCTTTAAATCCAAATTTGCTCCCTTTGAAATCCAATACCCTAAATCCAAATTTCTTATCTTGTGAATACCTCTCTTATCTTTTTATTTAGATGTATAGTTTGTTTTTATTATTATTTTTATGCTTAGTTTAGCTAGCCTAATGCTGTAATTTTTCATTTCTTACTAAAAAATAAAAAATAAAATTGAAAAACGAAAAAATATTGAAAAATGAAAATTGCCCAAGGATGAAACTCAAATGACGACGCTAATATATTTTGCTTGCTTGACTCTTGAGTGATGAGTAAAAGTTCTTTTAGAAGGGTGTATGCAAGAGTTGGGGTCATTTAGAGGTCTATTAATCCTGGTTGCATTAGTGTATATGAAATGAAAGCCGATGAATGCTCAATTGCACATCTAGCATAGGATATTGTCAAATTTGCCCAAAGTAGGATATGTTTGAGTCAAATTTCGGTCCTTTGTGCCCTTAATGTGCCTCCTCTCCTCCCCGAAATGAAACTCTATTAAGGAATTAGCTCTACTTGTATTATGTGTAATAAGTGGCATAATAAGCCACACGTTTCGAATAAAGAAAGAGCCGCTCACAGTTAAAAGAGGCGAGTGCAATAATGTTAAAAAAAAAAGAAAAAAAAAATAGAAAAGAAGGGAGAACAAAAACTCCCCCAAAATTCTCAAAATTTTGATTTTCTTTTCTTTAGAGGTCAACTTGTGGATGCCTCCCACACATTGTCGAACATGTTGTTTATTGTTTCTTATGAAATTCCCGAGTTAGAGTGTAATTAAGGGGCCTTGGGTGTGCATTTTGGGAGGTGGACTAGCATTTTTGAGATTTTATAACCGAAAGAGGGCTTGTTACAACTTTGGAATATCTAGATGTGCTCTAATGAACTAGTAAAAGGTCTAAAGAAGTATCCTAATGCAACCTTGCTTAGTTTCCCTCTTTACCCCCAACTCAAGTGTACATTTATATGATTGGTAATCCTTGAAAGTTTCTCACTTGACTTGCTTGCGATTTATATCCCAATGAGTTGACTTGGGTGATAAAAATATTGGAATTTGTGTAGTTGATAGTTTTGTCATGGTCTGCGTGAGTTGTGGGTTAAGCTCAATGGAAACCCTCACGAGATAAAAACTCGTCCTCTAAGGCGACTTAGAGGTTTAAATTGCTTCTCACTTGTGCTAAAAGTGATGATGGTTGTCACCATGCGGATTTGTGTATTTATGCTTCCTCCTTGTTGCCTCTCCTTGGATTGATGTTAGCAAATTGTTTTCCTCCTTTGGTTTAACATGTTTGTGTTGCTCGAGGACGAGCAAAAGCTTAGCTTGGGGGGATTTGATAAATTGCTATTTGTTATGATTTTAGGGTGTTTTTGAACCTAGTTTACTTGATAAAATTTGTGTTTTGGTTCACTTTTACTCTATTATTATGCAATTTTTGTGTATCCTATGCTTCACGGGTTGTTGGTGTTTTTGTTGAGATTCTAGGTTCAAAAACGACCAAATGGGGCCCATGGATACAAAGCCGAAGTTAGAAGCAAGAAGATGGTTGAAAGAAGCCAAGGAAAGGAGCAATATAGAAGAAAAGATGGAAAAAAAGGGCTTAGAAGATCCTGCACGGCCGTGCCAGACCCTGCACGTCCGTGCAGGAGTGCTCCAGAAACTTAGAACATTCTGCCAAGGCCTGCACGGACGTGCCAAATTAAGCACGTCCATGCAGATGTAGCTGCACGTCCGTGCCAATATCTGCACGTCCGTGCGGATCTGCTCGATTCTTAGCAGTACGTTCTGCCTCAATTCTGACCCCTCTGCACGTCCGTGCAAAATCTGGCACGACCGTGCTTATCCTTGCACGTCCGTGCGGACCTGCAGTCAAGCCCGATTCTTGTTTTCTCCGTCCTTTTTATTTGGGGGTCTTATAAATACCCCCTTTGGAGCTCATTTGTACACTATGCAGTTTTTTTTAGAGCTTTCCTCTTAGTTTGTAATCTTAGAACATTAAATTCTCAAATCATTAGTTAGTTCTCAATTATTAGCTTGGAAACATTCAAATTCAATCATTGTAGAAGACAAAATCCACCATTGTTGCTCACTTTGAAGCTTCATAGTAACCATTTCTTACTCATCTTTTCTACTTCTTTTTACTTTGTTGTTGATTACTTGCTTAATTCTTGCATGCTTAGATTGTTAATTAGCTTAATACTTAGTTTGAACTTGTTCATGAATTGCTTGAAACCTCTAATTGCTTTAACCTCCATGGATTGTGAGTAGTCTAAATTCTAGGATTTGGGTAAAACCCTCAATGTAGTCACTAATTACTTGTTGCATGTGCTAATTTGGTTGTTGTGGGATGTTAATTAGTTGAGCTTAAGTGGTTTAATTACTTAGTTCTTGTATATGGCCATTGCTAGAACTATTTATCCAAGCTTTCTCAACGAAGGATCGAGAGATGAACTTGAGTTAGCTCCCTTATGCTTGATTGACCCGAAATGCCATGAGAATAGGGATTACCGGTCAAGGGAATGTTTATGTCATCGTGATTATGCTTTAACTATTGTTTTATGCTATGTAACCACGAGAGTAGGTTGTATTCATGATTCAAGTAATCCCTCTAGCTTGAGAGAGTAGTTGGGTGCTTTAGATGACTTCCCCTAATTTATCCCATTAATTTACCTTGATTGTTGCATGCTATTGTGATTTGTGATGAAATTGAGTGGTATAACCCAAGCCTTAGATTCCTCTTAATATTGTTAATCTCCTCTTAGCTTTAGTTGAATTGAATTAGAAGAAGTTACTCAAAACCAACCCAATTTAGAATTCATTTAGCTTATTTAAACGGTAGTACTCGGTGGTTGATTCAACGCCTCTCTTGGGTTCGACCCTTTCTTACCTTTACTATTGTTAGTGAGACCAAGATAGGAGTTATTATCTTTGGTAGGCTCGACGACGGCCTATCACCCCTATTTGTACTTTCTTATCAGGATGGTCGGATCCAGCTGGACCTCGATTGCTTCTTGCTCTTCTACTATGCTGATCTTCTCTTGGCCCAACTGAATCTCTATCTCTGATTGCTATGCTGACTCTTTCTCTGCAGATGTTGCTTTTAAGGCTATCTTGTAGCATTCTTTGGCTTCCTTTGGGTCTCCCTTGATTACTTGGATTCCACAACTGGTAGGAAACTTGATGATTTCATGATATGTAGATGGGATGGCTTTCATTTCATGTATCCAAGGTCTGCCAAAAATTATGTTGTAGGATGACAGAGTATCGATCACTAGAAACTTCACTTGCAGATTGATCCCTTTTGCATAGGTAGGCAATGTAATCTCTCTAATGGTCTTCTTAGTTTCTCCACTGAATCCGACCAGCATTGTTGACTTGTTGATGATGTCTTTCTCGTCAATGTTCATATGTTTCACTACATCGGCATAATGATGTTAGCTGAACTTCCATTGTCAACTAGGATCCTCTTGATTAAGCAGTTTTTTACTAGGAGTGATATCACAAGGCCATCATGGTACTCTTCCACTACATCAATTTCCTCAAATATGATTGGAACATCTATCTTTACTTGCACCTTCTTGACTGGCTTGTTCATGTTACTTTCTTTGGTGTGACGCTTTGCTGTTGAGTACGTCAAACCGCACACTTCTGACCCTGCGGAGATGTAATTGATTGTTTTGACGATTGGAGGGGGAGGCAGGGGTCCACCTTGATTGGACTCTCTTTCTCTGCCTAGAGCATTAGACTTGTCCGTCATGAGTTCCTTGAGATACCCTTTCTTTAACAAGTAGGCAACCTTCTTTCTGAGGGCCACGCATTCATCAGTAGTGTGACCAATGTCTAAATGGAAGTCACACCACCTCGATGGATCTTTCTTTTCTCCTAGCATGTCGCTCTTCCTGGGCCATTGCACGGTATCTCCCATTTTGTTCAGGGTCCTAATCACACCTGCATGGTTAACATTGAAACAGTATCCATGTAATTTAGGGGGGAGTTTAGGATCTTCCCTCCAATCTGTGAATTCTCTTTCGACAGCATTGATTGTTCCCTCCTCGGAGCGGGACCGTTAATATGGCTTGAATCTATGATCCCTTCTGGGAAAGTTGTTGCTCCTTCTTGACGAACGATCTTGCTTGGCAGTCTTTCTTGCACAGACATCCTCTTCGAACCTGACTTGGGCCATGGCTTTGGCTTGAACATCTTCGAAAGTGGTGTAGAAATACTAGGTCAATTCCTTGTAGAGCTCGCTATGGTCCAATAGTCCTCTTCTAAAGGCTTTAATAGTTGTGGGAGCATCGCATTTGTGTATTCCTATCTTCTCCCTGTTGAACTTGTTAAGGTAGTCTCTCAAAGACTCTCCATGCCTTTGCACGACTCTATACAGATCTGAGGATTGCTTCTCAATCTTTCTACTGCTAGCGAACTGGATTTTGAATAGGTTGACCATTCTTACAAAAGATCGAATAGTCCCATTATCTAAATTAATGAACCAAGTTAGGGCTGGACCTGACAAGGTGGCTCTAAAACCTTTGCACATAATTGCCTCCCTGATGTCTCTGGAGATAGAGCTGGTCATCATTTTCAGTTTGTAGAGGGACACATGCTCATCAGGGTCTGTTGTGCCATCATACATGGCCATGCTGAGTGTGGTGAACCTTTTTGGCACTTCTACCATAGCGATCTTTTCTGAGAAGGGTGACTCTATGTAGCCGTCTGCAGCTTCTTCCTCCATGGGCTTTGGCACTCTGGGAGTTTTTGCAATCTTTGCCTCGAAAGCCTTGAGGTATTCCTAGACCACCTTTTCTATCTTTCCCTCCTCGGTTCCTGTTTGCTTGCTCTTTTGGAAAGTACCTGCATCAATAAAACCTTCATCCAGGGTTGCGTCCCTATAGTTAGAACCTTTTTCCTCGTTACCAAGGGTATGGAAAGCTCCTGACAAATCGAGCTGCATGGCTATGCTTTCGGTGTTCTTTCTGGTATTGGCTGTTTTGGATACAACCGACTGTATTTGGTTACGGAGGGCTTCATTTTGTTTGGTTAAGCTGGTGAGTTTAGCCACAGTTTGAACTTTTTGTTCTAATAGGGTTTCGATCTGGCTTTTCTGTTGGTCTAAGGTTTGGCGGAATGCGTTCATTCCTTCATTGATTTCGGCTATGGTGAAGGGTACTGGTTGTCCAGTCATGGTTGGAAGATGTTCTTTGGTCTTTTGGGGAGTTTTTGGCAGGTTAACTGATTATCAGTCCCACGGTGGGCGCCAAATTGTTTGGGGCAAATCTTAATAGGGTAGTTCTAGGAATTTGTTTAAGGTTTTAGGAGTAATAATAATCAATCCTGCAAATAACAATCACAACAACCAAGAACAATAACACAATAAAGAACGAGTACATAACAAGGAAATAAGAGTAACAATGGATTCCTTGATCAGAATAGACACAAAATTCGTAAATATCTTGCAAATATTTCGAGTATTAATGTATGAATGAGATTGTACATATTTTGCTAGCTATTTATACCTAGGGATTGGTAGGGTTTACATATATTTTCAGAATAATATTCAAAGGACAAGATCTTCATATTGTGTTCTTCTTTCCTTCTTGCTGCTTCATATTTTTGGTGTTTGCTGCCGTTTGCCTTGATTTCATTTTATTTGGCTTGCTTCTTGGGTCTCTTGGTCATGCCCTACGGCTTTTGGGCTTCTTGGGAGTACGGACCCAACACCCTGGTCGTCAACCTTTTCAAATAATAAAAACAAAATCGTTCAAATTAGAACAATGTCGTTCTTCAAGTGACTCTTCAACTGCAGTGCTTACCACTTCAACAATAAAATACCGTGTAATAGACGAAACACTTATTAAAATCTGAGCAGCCAATACTAATTACTCCGAAATCTCATTTGACTCGTGCAACTTGATTTTTAAAGGGACCATTAGCCGAGTCAACTGTTCAACCCTTTCAATTTTCACTCTATTATTTTAATCCAACTTCAAAATTATGTTTTTGTTGATTCCACTGATTCCTGTTAATTCACAGGCCGCCTTCCATCACCATTTTCTCTCTCCTAAATTCATCATATTCCTCCATTTCAGATTCACCTTTAAATCTTTTTTTCTGGAAAATATTATCAAGTTCGAGCTTAATTTATTGGATTAATTGAAGTTTGAGCTTAATTTGTTGGATTAATTGAAGTTATTATTATGAGTGTCGGAGCTGGAAAATGTTGGCTAGTTCCGACGATGGCGGTGTTGATAGTGGTGGTGATGTCAATGGCGGCCGTACAAGTAGAAGCTCAAGCTCAAGCGCAGAATAATGTAAATGAAGATGAGCTGCGATTGGAGTTGAGAAGCGGAGTTGCAAATGTTACTGATAGGATTGCGTTGGAGATGCAACGCCGTGCTGGCTTCTGCTTTCTTGATGAGTAAATCTTAATCCTTTTTTTTTTTTAAAAAGTTGAACGAGGAACATCCAATTAATCAGGCTGATTTACAAAACTTTTGATTTATACTCGTAATATTTTTTTTAACATCAGACTTATGAACTTGATTTTTCTCTAGTTAAACTACGATTCTATGACGAATGCATAAGTTAGTAATACTGATTAATTGACGTATGATTCTGTCATGTATTTCTGAATTTATACGGTAATATTATAGGATTATATATGATCGAGTTTTATTTTGTTACTCGTACTTCATTTTTAGTTGGTGTTGGTTTGTATATTTGGGCTTCGTCAACTTTTTTTGTGGATGGGGTCGGGGGGTAAAGAGGCGGTTAGCAATAAATATTCCCTCCAATTTATACAACAGGATAAGTTTTATGCTACTAGTAGTACATAAATGTGAGGTTGTTCTATTAATAGCAATGATAACTAAACTCTACTTGCATATTGTACATTGACTTGGAGTTATATTCAACAGCTTTGATGATTTGGACTACTTGATTGGTTAGTGGATAAACGAATTATGGAGTATTTAACAATGTTAGTTACTCCCTCCATCTGCACTAGTTTGACCTTAAATATATACAGAGTATATTTATGTATTACAGTAGTAAAATGTACGGTATTAAAAAAAAGTTGATATTATGAAATTTTATGATAAAATTTGTTTTTTAATATGTTACCAAAGAACTATTGTCAATGTTAATATATCATTAGTGAAAAAAAATCAATATGTCGATTATTTTGGGATAGAGGAAAACTCCCCCCATTTTATTGATCTTTACTAATTAAAACTTAATTTTCTAAACTTAATTTTTTTTTTTTTTTTTTGAAAGAAAACTTATTTTAATTAAACTTAAATCATTTTTACTCCATATTATTTGATTTTAAGGTAAAAATTACTAGAAAGTACAACCTCTGGTTGTATTTGTTAGTTACAAAAATCCTTTTACACCACACACATTCTTACTTTTTCTTACACATATGCCATTCCCATCATAGTTTGAAATATGACTACCATATCATTTTAATGATAAACAATTTGATCGGTTTATTTTTTCACATTATAATATGGACACAATTAGTTTTCTAATATCTATAATGCAAATATAATTTTTAAAAATTTAAATCCAACATAATTTTTTTTTTCGAGAAATCGTAAAATAAGAATAAAAATTACATAACTGAAACTAAAAATTTGATAAATTAAAAAAATGTTGATAATATGATTTTATACCAAAAATAAAGTAATACTTCCTCCATTTCTTTTTAGTTGACACGTTTCTTTAGTCACGTTTGCCAATGCACAACTTCAACCCTTAATATCTTTAATTACCGATAAACAAAAATTATAAAAAGTTGATATTTTGAAAATATATACGGTGGCTGATAGAGTATATACACCGATTGGTTAAGTTGGTCCTTTAACATGGTATCAGAGTGACACAAAGGTCACGGGTTTGAATCTCATCCACCCCTCCTTTCAAAGTGGATTATTAATCACTGGGTATGGTGGGGCCTATGCTACATTCACTCGTCAAGCCCAATGGGATCTCATGTGAGGTGGTGTGATAGAATATATAACCCGATTCAGGGTTTCAACCATCAGCTTAAGCTTTTGGTTTAGTTGGTCCTTTAACAGTGGTGAATCAAACAAGATTCCACATGTTTATATTTTTCATTATGTATAAAGCACAAAACACGGTCAAAGGGAAGTGAGTGAATAGTGCTAAAGTCTAAACTTGTCAACAGAGGAGGTAGTATAATTTATTACTCGGAGAAAAATATGTTAATTATGAACTAAATAATCATTAAAACATTATGGTAGCATTTTTCAAACGACTACTGTAATATTTTCTGAACAAATAAAAATTGCCAATTCTGCTTGAGAAGAGATATTTTGTGGAATTAGGGAATATAAAAGAGGATTAAGGTAACAATAAGGTTTTCCATGCCATCACATGCTCAAAT